GCTTTATATATAATATATATAGATACAAACAATGAGTAAAACCTAACTATTCCCAATGTCATGTATTCCTATAAACTTTGTTTCCTTAACCAAAAGTTGAGAGCAAAGGATGATATACATTTGAGTTGGCTAGAATTTCAGTAAGTTCCAAGGAGGAGGAGCCTGTAAAGTTTTAACAAAGGTGAGGTGATCATCTATGGCCATGGACCATGATCTAGAATAATTCACAAACACGGAACAAAATGGAAAAGGACTACACATAATGGAGCTTAAAGTTAAAATTGGAATTTGAAAAACAAAAGCAATGAAAGAAACAACCACTTCTTTTCTGCTATTCATTCAACTTATAGCTATACATCGCATTTCACATGTTCCTGTTACCTCTTTTTCCCATCACCCAAAGTGTGATGGCTAGCCCACATTTCCAACTCCAAATAAAAACAACTTTCTCTTTGTTCCCCCCAACTTCATTCCCATACATGTCCCTCTCTTGGTCTGCAATATTGCTAACGTTTTTGTCATTTTTCAGGTGACCCACATTCATGGTTATATATATAATCAGGGATAGACCGAAAGGACTAGTAGGGCAGTCGTCCCCTGGAAATTTTAAATTTTCATGATATAATTTAAGAATTTTCTTTGTATTTTCTATTGATAATCTATTTTTGTTCTCCTGAAATTTTATAAACTTATTCGTTGAACATAAAATCATATATACATCCCTGTTAAGGTAATCATATCTAAGAGACATTATACATGGATCGGAATATTCATGTGGTCCAAACCAGTAATGGTGTAGGATCTTCTGTGATCCCTCCAAAGAAGAACCCATTCCACTAACATAACATGCCTTGCCTACTTTTTAGCAGCTGCTTTCATTGTTTTGTGATCTTCAATGGATCATTTTGACCCTACATATGGTTATCACTTCTCATTCAGCATTTATGGGATGGTTAAGTTGGATTATACAATGGTTGAGCTTACCATGGGTTCACCTTCAAGTTGGGATGGAACGTGATTATGTTGTCTGGCCACACATTCAGGCAACTGGGAACACAAAACCAAAAAAGTTGTATTTTTCCTTCAAGTCAATGGACTAATGTTTACTGCTATGTAATGTTTTGAAGCAAATCTATGTGATGAAATTAAAGCTTCACGGTTTTAACAGACCAGTCACGATTGTACACAACTATGCACAGAGAAAACTGCAGTGAAAAGCATTCTTTTTTGATGAAATACTTGGTACGATTATCTTCAGTTTTTGATGGATTCTTGTCTCATGACATATGTTGCCAAGGTGCATGGAGGATCAATGCAGTAGGTATATTTTGATAGCATGTATTGATAATATAAAGAAAGTAAATTTCATATTTATAATATTTTAATGTTTTAAATTATTTAAATATAATTTATTTTTTACATCAGTATATGTCAACTGAAATTTCTCCTTAAATTCAAGTAGTAACTCTCTTTTTTATATATAAAAGATATTAAGAATATACTTGGTTTTTGGTAAAAGAAGGAATATTGGCGAAAAGTAAGAAATGGAATTAAAGATAATGGTCCATGGCGACATGGAGTGCAAATCTAGACAAGGGAAAAGTTGAAATGGCATTTGTTCATGCGAATGAAAAGGGAATGTGGGGTTGCAAGTATCCTCTAAATTCCTTTTTAAAAAATTTAGACCGATTAAAATATAATATATATTTTAAATATTTCTTGACCACCGATAAAACTCACTTTGTAAATGCAATTGTTCGGATTCAGAATTTTCAAGGAGAGCAACACTCTGTCAACCACTAACCTCCTTTAAATTCTACATTAATTAGAATGCTTGTGTTTTTTTATTGTAGATGTTAGATTGCGATCAAAGTACATAATATTCAATGATAGGAGGTATAAAGATGCTAGTTTCTAAAATAGATTATCCAAATACCATACTCGGATGTCTTGAGCATCTGATAAAGTGAAGCCTAATTTAAAAAATTTCCAGACCGTTTCTCAAGTGGTGAAACCCGGTTTTAAATGCATCACATTGGGCTGGGTATCATTATTACACAGTGTTTAAATCACCATTAATTATGGCTTTTAAAAAATTGTGCCTTCTCACAGATTTTTTTTTTTATATAATTGATAGCCTGAAATTTTAATGTGAAAAACTGCTAGTGAGTAATGGGTAAGAGCATGAGGATTGTTGTCCAAATAATTAGCAAGTAGAGTGGAGCCAAGAGATGCAAGTCAACTTAAGATTGGAGCTTTTGTCTTGTCAACTGGATTTGGTTTCAGATATGCAGAGTGTTCGGTTTAGGGATGGCTTAATGTTTGAAACTACTTGGTGAGATGGCAAGTAATTTGAGAATTAAAAAAAATACGTGTTTATTTTCAAACTCAATTAATCTATTACTTAACCAACTTTTAACGGTTTAATTCATTTAAGAAATTATATCTTTCTAATTATGTAACCAAAATTTAATCTACTTGGCCTAAATTAATTCAATTAATAAATCAAAAATTATATAGGTTTGATGAAATTAAATTTATTTATTTAAATAAATTAATTATATTCTCATAAATTATAATTAATTTCGTTTAAATAATTGAGCTTGTCCCTTATGCTAGTGGGACGTTGAAAAAACAAATGAAAAATGTTGTTAGATGTAGGGTGGGTGGGTGCCTGACCAAGATGAGTTGGTGCCAGCATTTGTCAAAGACGGCCACTTCGCTCATTTCACATGCTATTTTCCTTCTCGTTTCCCTCGAGATTTTTAGGCCCAACCCACCGCCGAATCCCTTTTATTCTGCTTACACTTCTTTATTCATTTTAATTTTATTTTTAAATTATTTGACCCGGATTATTTTTTAAAAAAATTTATTGAAGAAAAAAAAAAAACTAAATGGTTATCCTTTTATTAAACTAAAATACCATGTTTCATGCTAGCAGATAGTTTATTGGATTTTATAAAATTTTTGATTCTATACCGTGGATCATGCATCTCAGTATATCAAAATATCAAATTCTCTAGAAATTAATTTATAAAATCAAACATAAACAAAATACCATAATTTTTTCCTTTTATGTCGCAGACAAATTCATTGCTTACAAATGAAAGGGATAGCCAACAATGGTGGAACACTTTAACATGTATTAATCTACATAAATTAAAAACAAAATACTAAAGAGTATTTATTTTTTAAGTGATGATTGCCGCTATTAGTTTGTTTAAAGAAGAAAAAGAGGAAGGAGAAAGATAAGCTTTTGACTAATTGGCTTTTGGGTTCGACATGATCCACGTGGGCCCATATTATTAGTAAGCCTGTCTGTCCCACAAAATGAAATATCTTAAAAGTAGTAACTATTTTTTGTTTTCAAATTTAGTCCTCTGAATTTTCCCCCGACTTTTGTTTTACTTTTTTAATTTAAAAAATTTAAATTTAAACCTTATTTTTTCTAAAAAAATATTTATTCGTAGAAGCTTTCAATAGAAAATAGTTAAACTCTTGTAATTTTTTATATCAAATTGAACTTTTCTAACTAAATTTAAACAATCAAGTCTCTTCATTGATATTGCTCACGATAATTGTTACATTTTGTTTTCGTAACCTGTTGATGATATAATCTATATAAAAGGTTTAATCGATTATTTTATTTGATATTAAGGGTTTAATTTTATATAAAATATAAATATCATAAAACTTTAAAAAAAGTTTTAAACATAAAATAACTGTATGTTATAATTCAAATCCTTGTTAATGTTATTATTTTTTAAAAAAAATTGATATACTAATCGATTCATTCAGATTAGGTATTACAAAGGTTAATATGGGAATAACCATCTCAACTCAGATTGTTCTTTAGTCTTACTTAAATAATCCATTGTTCATTTCACTATACTAACTGAATGCTAATATTTTTTTTAAAAATATTTAATCTTATTTTTATCAAAAATTAAATGACTCCACATGTATTAATAAATGGATATTTATTTTATATAAATTTTGAAACATATCATATGTTTTAATATAAAAAAATAAATAAAACAAAAATGGGTCGTTTTGATGGGGGAATGTGGGATTCAATGGAATCCACATTCCCCCGTTTGGTTTGGCCGGGAATATCATTCCCGGTAATGTTTTATTACCAATAGTGGATTTTTTGGGGTATATTACTGGGAATGTCATTAACTTCCTTCACTTAGGTATTGTAACATTATAGGCGTTTTGGACTGAAATGCCTTTAATTTTTTTTTCAAAAATATATTTCTTCTGTCATTGAATAATAAAGATTCTACAAAGGTTAAATTACAAATTTATCCTTAAACTATTTTAGATTTACAAAAAAAAGTTTATAATTAAAATTTTAGATGAAGTTCATGGGTTAAAATAAAATTTTACCCTTTCATTAAATATTTTTTATATTTTTAATTTTGTAAAAAAAATTATATAAATTTTATGAATTTAAATTTTTTAAAGAAAATATATAAATATTTTTCAACTTGTAATATTATACAAATATATAATAAGGACAATTTAGTCTAATATACATTCTAATAATATTTTATTCTTTTAACCAAACACGTTAATCTTACATTCTTGCTAAACCAACCAAACACAAAATACAACATTCTCAGTAATTATATTTCCTGATAATCTTTTATTATCACTGATAATATTACATTCCTTGAACCAAACGTACCTTAAAAAGTGCAACATTCCTGTTTTCACTTAAGAGTATTTTATTCTGTTAAAAGTGTGTAAAATAAGTAATTTTTTTTCCAGCTAAACATTTTGTACCAAAATTATATTATTTTTATATTTAATTATTTTTATGACAAAGTTGATGTACATGGGACAACTATATAATCCTAACTAGAATTATTTTATCTGTCTCAGTTACAACTACACCTCTCTCTATGTGACTGTCTTTTTCATTTCAAATATTTTATTATAATTATTTAAACTTAGTTGCGTTTATCGTTCTTTTTTTTTTGGGTGCACTTCCAAGCTGTAATATTTCTGGTGTCCAATGTAAGGAAAGTGAGTGGGAGAAAGAAAAAGAAAAACAAGTATATAACTTTCCCTTTTACCAAACAAAAGAAAACGTTACAAACAGCATGGGAAAGTGGAGACAACAATGGAGACTCAGGAATTTCCATCTTTTCTCTCTTCACTTTTGATTCAAACTTTGATCTCCCTCTGCCTTCTCCAAATACCACACATCCCCCAGCCTTTTTTTCTTCGTCCTCTTTCTCTCTCTCCCAGTCTCTTTAGCATATGAGTGTGTTTCTTAAGGTATTTTGATTTTATTGTGTGCTTGGTTGTCTTTTAGATAAAGATCGTAGATTAAGGGCTAGTTTAGCATTAATTTCGTATGTGTCTTAACACCAAGGGTTAGTTGAATTTTTTTACAGTGAAAAGAATCCTTTTTTTCCTTCCGTAATTTCTTGCTTGTGTAATTATATAGGCTGTACCAGCTTGTTAATATATACCCATATTGAAAATATAGTGAATTATTGTTTGTTTCTGGTGTTTTGTTTGCTTGTATTAAATGTCTTGCTTGGTGAGGTAGGAAGGAAGGGTCTTTTAGCTAAATAGTAGTGGTGAGATTATTGATAAGGGAACTTTTTTTTTCAAAAACAAATCTTTGGGTTTTTTTTTTTGAGTTTTGTAAAGAGAGGAAATTAAGAAGACCTCATTTGGTTATTGTGGAGATCTGGGACTTGTTTAATCTCTTATGCCCAATGAGAACTTTCTTTCCCTCTGATTCATGTAAAGAATCACAGCTTAATGCTGTCAATCCTCAGTCTTGGCTCCAAGTTGAAAGAGGGAAGCTTTCCAAATTATCTTCTTCCCCGACCACCTCTTCATCCATGTAAGTTTTTGTTTTCATTTTCTGTATTTTTTTATAGTTTTTCTCTTTCTTGTTTTTGGAAAAAAAAAATGAATTGAGATTGTTTTGGTGAAATTGTTGTAGAGAATCATTTATCAAGGTTCCCGAGCCACCATTGTTGCCATTCTTTAAACCTATTGATTATGTAGAGGTTTTAGCTCAAATTCATGAAGATCTGGAGTCATGTTCTCCCCAAGAGAGGTCAACTCTTTATTTGTTACAATTCCAGATCTTCAGGGGACTTGGAGAAACCAAATTGATGCGGAGAAGCCTCCGCTCGGCTTGGCAGAGGGCTGCCACTGTCCATGACAGGCTTGTATTTGGGGCATGGTTGAAGTATGAGAAGCAAGGAGAAGAACTTATTGCTGACTTGCTTGCAACTTGCAATACGTGTGCCCAAGAGTTTGGGCCGGTCGATGTTTCTCAGCTTCAAGTCGAGGTGAGTGGCTTTCCCCAGGAGACTGTTGTGATGAATGGGAACAAGAGACCAAAAAACGTGAACTTTAAGATTGGAGATGAGAAAATCGTTTGTGATAGGCAGAAAATTGCTTCTCTTTCAGCTCCTTTTCATGCTATGCTGAATGGTTACTTTACTGAATCGTTTTCCGAGGACATAGATTTATCCAAAAACAATATATCCCCATTGGGTATGAGGACAATTGTTGAGTTCAGCATCACAGGAAGTTTGAGCAAAGTTCATCCTGATCTTTTGCTGGAAATACTAGTTTTTGCAAACAAGTTTTGTTGTGAAAGACTCAAATATGCTTGTGATAGGAAACTTGCATCTTTGGTTCGCACCAAAGATGATGCAGTAGAGTTCATGGAATATGCCATCGAACAGAATTCTCCTGTCCTGGCTGTGTCATGTTTGCAAGTTTTATTGCACGAACTGCCTGATTGTTTGAATGATGAACGAGTGGTCGAAATATTTAGCAATGCCGATATACAACAGAGATCAATCATGGTTGGACAGGCCTCATTTCCATTGTATTGTTTATTAAGTGAAGTAGCTATGAACCTAGATCCTCAATCTGATAAAACTGTTTGTTTCCTAGAACAGTTGATTAAGTCAGCTGGAACTGACAGAGAGAGATTGCTAGCTTTTCATCAGTTGGGATGTGCAAGGCTTCTGAGGAAAGAGTATGATGAAGCCGAAAGTCTTTTTGAGAGAGCTGTAAGTTTAGGACATGTTTACTCTATTGCGGGTTTGGCTAGACTCGGTTACATTAAGGGTCATAAACTTTGGTCTTATGAGAAGCTCAGCTCTGTGATTTCTTCCGTTAACCCACTAGGGTGGATGTATCAGGAAAGATCATTATACTGTGAAGGTGATAAGAGGTGGGAAGACCTTGAGAAAGCAACTGAACTGGACCCAACTCTCACATACCCCTACCGGTATCGAGCTGCTTCTCTTATGATGAAACAGAATGTCCAAGCTGCTCTCGCTGAGATCAACAGGGTTCTTGGGTTTAAACTTGCATTGGAATGCTTGGAACTCCGATTTTGTCTCTATTTAGCTATTGAGGATTACAAAGCAGCCATTCGTGATGTTCAGGCAATCCTAACACTTTCCCCAGATTACAGAATGTTTGAGGGACGAGTGGCAGCATCCCAGCTCCGTACGCTTGTGCGTGAGCATGTTGGGAATTGGACAACTGCAGATTGTTGGATGCAGTTGTATGATAGGTGGTCTTCTGTTGATGATATCGGATCACTCTCTGTAATCTACCAAATGCTTGAATCGGGTGGGGCAAAAGGTGTTTTATACTTCAGACAATCATTACTTCTCCTCAGGTATGCTTTGCTTTTCTTTTTCTTTCCCCATTTTATAACATCCATTTTCTTGCTGACTAATATGTATGCTCCCGACTCCCGCTCGTTCATCCTATAGCATTCATTGTTCCCATTGCTTATATGACTCGCAAGAACTTATGCCTTTATTTGATCAGGTTGAACTGTCCAGATGCGGCTATGCGAAGTTTAGAATTAGCTCGTGAACGTGCATCCAGTGAGCATGAACGTCTGGTTTACGAGGGATGGATCCTATATGATACTGGTCACTCTGAGGAAGGGCTTCGGAAGGCAGAAGAGTCTATCAAAATTAGTAGATCTTTCGAGGCCTTCTTCCTTAAAGCTTATGCATTGGCTGACTCTAGTCTCGATTTATCTTGTTCTTCAACAGTTATTTCACTGCTTGAAAATGCCTTGAAATGTCCCTCGGATAATCTTCGGAAAGGTCAAGTAAGGTTTCCTCTTAATCTTCATGGTCCACGGTTCTAATTTTGGTGTTGAAAAAACGGGAAATTTAACTTTCCAGCATGTCTAATCTTGGTTTGAGTTCTGTTTTTCTCAGGCTCTTAACAATCTTGGAAGTGTCTTTGTTGATTGTGGGAAATTAGACTCAGCAGCTGATTGCTACATCAATGCCCTCAAAATCCGTCACACTAGAGCCCATCAAGGTCTTGCACGTGTCCATTTTCTAAAAAACGATAAGGCTGCCGCATATGTCGAAATGACCAAACTGATCGAAAAAGCTAAGAATAATGCATCAGCGTATGAGAAAAGGTCCGAGTACTGTGATCGTGACCTCACAAAGGCAGATCTGGAGATGGTCACTCGACTAGATCCACTCCGGGTATATCCTTACCGGTATCGAGCTGCAGGTCAGAACATATATGTATATATAGTATATTATACTGCTGTTAGTATTTTTCCCCCTTGAGATGATGATACTAATTCGGTTGTGTTGAACGAACAGTGTTAATGGATAACCACAAGGAGAAGGAAGCCATTGCCGAACTGTCTAGGGCAATCGCATTTAAAGCAGATCTTCATCTTCTACACCTACGAGCTGCCTTCCACGAGCATGTTGGCGATGTGTTCGGGGCCCTCCGAGATTGTCGAGCTGCTCTCTCTGTTGACCCTAACCATCAAGAAATGTTGGAACTGCACAGCCGTGTCAACAGCCATGAACCATAAATCTTTTTTTCTCTCTCTCTTTTGGGTTAAGAATGTTAAAGGGAAAAAATGGAAATTACTTCGGATAAATGAGGGGGGGAAGAGATTTTGAACTGAATGATACTATCGTCATCATCCATAAGTAAACTTTGAAATTTACCCTGTAAGAATTTTTGGTTATGAAGTTTGTTCAGTGCCTTGTTACTCATCTTCAGCCAAATAATCAGATGCCATGGCGTTGGTGGATTACTGAGGGATTAGGCTATCAGTATGCAAATGTGCATTTAGGAGTATAATTTTAATTTCCAAGTTCTAGTAGGAATATATTGTTTTTAAGTTTATTCATACATGACTCTGACTCTATATTAGGAGTTCTTAACCAAGAACTGAAGTACAGATTTTGTGCAAGTTCACCCTTTTATTTAAAAAATAATAATATTTAAAGAAAAAGGCTTATCTCATTCCTCTCCATATATTTGCCTTCATAATCTTGTATAAGATACAGACATCTCGTATTATTAGATCATATCAATCATTCAATCTACAAATAGTCATATATATCTATGCTAACACTAACAGTCATTATATAAACTCCTCATATAGAACTTAAGGGAATCTCTCTCTCAAACACCTATTCTTTTGATTTTTTCTTCTCTCCAAGGTCATAGACGATCACCATCCTTGACATCTTACTTCTATTAAAATTACCGACTCTCCATCCAAATTAAAAGAAATTAATCGCAAATAATTACCATAATCAAATATTATCATCAACTCTATTTGAACTGATCAAATAAACCACCTTGTTAGACAATTGTAGCATCGCTGCTTAGATCTTTCAGTAGCCCGGTTTACTTTTGTTGAAGCACGACGTCTTTTGGATGCACATTCTCTTATTGATGTGTCCTATCTTCGTCGATCGGCAAATATCGCTGTGCATGCCCTTGCTCAACATGCCTCCTAATCCTGCAATTCTTTGTTTTTTTTCTTATAGTTTCTAACACTATTAATAGTTGATGCATTATGTGTGTTTTATTAAAAAATATATCCAATAAATAAATATTTTGTGGACATAAAAGTTATTAATATTAATTTACTTTTTCAACTTTAAATATACTTGTCAATAATCTATAGAGTAAGTGGTTAAAAGTTCTAAGCTGACACATTTATTATTCCTAGATTGTTGGTTTAATACCCATCAAGAGCAAAAATTCGAGAAAACAAATATGAAAGGTTGAGAAATTCATCTATGATTTTGTAAGTTATTAATTTATTCTTTGTATTATTCTTAAAATTCTGATTTGTAAATTTCTTTATTGAAGGCTTTGCTTTTGTTTTCATGTATTTTATTATTTAATTTTATAGTTATGTATGCTTAAAATGTTTATACCATATATATTGTTAAGGAATGGAATATCATTTAAATCCATGATGAGATAATATTATAATTATAAGAATTAATTATTTTACTTTTTGAGTTTATATTTTCTAAATTATATATATAATTGTAATTCAATAATTATCCATTTAAGATTTTTAAATTAAAAAAAAAGGAATTGTTAATAAGAGTACAACAAAGCATTGCAAGTTAAGGAAAAACATAGCAACCAAATATAGGGAATGGTTTTGATTGAGACCCCAATAAATGTACCAATTTTTCAATCATTCAAAAGTTAGATTAGTCTTACACTGGAATCAACTATTATTATGTGTAGTTAAAAATAATTTAATATCCGTCGACAATCTTTAGAGTATATGGTCAAAAACTCTTGGTTAACATTTCTTCTCTCTCTAGATTGTGGGTTCAATATTCATTAAGAGTAAAATTATCTCATTCTTTGATCTTTCAACTATACATTTATTTTATTTTGGTACCTAGTTTTTTATCCTACTTTAGCATCTAAATTATCACTTTCACTTTGGTTTACCCTAAATTAAAAATGCTACTAATAAGAACATGACATGTAATATGTTTTATTGAATGTTATTTTGGGGTGAAATAAGATAAAACTAATAGCTTAGGTACTAAAATAGAAAATGAATATAGTTCAAGATCAAAATGAATTTTAAGACTTAAATCATTATGCATACAAAATAATTATTGTTTTATTTTTTAAGAGCTTATTTACAGTTTGAGTTTAAGATAAAATATGAACAATCAACATAAATTTATTTTCACAACACTATTAATTTACTTCAACTAACAACTTTTAAAATATTGGTTTCTTTGTGTATTCTACATTTTTATTATTTAACAATTATTTTTATTTAATGTATATATATATATATATATATATATATATATATATATATATATATAATATTTTATAAATTTAATAAATTATATCATATTTTTTCTTTCTTCCTTCGTAGCTATTTCTTTATCTTTATCTTTATGATCGGCGACGGCACTAGTCTTGGTACTATTACCGAACTCCAGTATTAATTGTTTTTCCTTTGCTTTATTATAGCGTATCTTTGTTTTTTCTTATTTTTTTATTCTTAATAATTTTGCCTTTTTAGCATGTATTCTTATGTCTTTATAGCACGTTTTCTCCGCCTCTATGGCACATTTTCGGTTCTTTGGTCGTTGTTTTCATTTAATCTTTTTTGGGGTTGGATTTGACATCTCTACGACTGATCAAGATGGTGTTTATTTGTTATCATTATGATATTCCCTGCTTTGGACCCACATATTGAATTTGGATATACGATTTGAGTTCGTGAATAGTATTTTCACATTACTCGATTCTGATTTGCAATATGTCGGTGGTCTTTCATTAGCTTTATTTCCTTTTGTGGTTCATTTTTCGATGCAGTCAAATCTATTTGTATTTATCTCTTGTTCGAGTTTATTTGGTTAGGTTTTTTAAACTTTTCCTTGTAAGGTCTTTGTGTGATCTTAAGTGGCTAGTTTTCTTGTATTTAGAAAAATATTCTTATTATATGTTCAGTTTACAGTTGTGGTTGTAATTGCAATACCCATAGCCCATATATGTCTCATAATACGAACTAAAGATGTCACATTAGCTTAATAGATATTTGTTGAACATAAATGCTTAAAATTTTGTTGCGGTTTAAAATATCTTTTTCTTACAATTTAAAATTTGTAATTTCTTTAGTATGCATAGTCATAAAATAATAATTTATTGTTCCAAACAAAGCTGATTTTTATGTAGCAATTAGGCAGTTTCATGTTGTTTCATATCTATATACATATGCCTAATATTGCTTGATTTAAAACTTTTTTTAAAATTTATTTATAATATTCATTCATAAATTCGATTATAGCTAAAATTATCCAAAATTAAAAGAGTTATAAATTATTATTACATACCTTTTATAAAATAAATCTGATAAAGCAACCCAATGATTATAATGTACATGCCACTAATAAGTCAAAGTTAGGATGTCTTATTGATATTTTCGGTAGGTTTGATTCCAATAAGATGCTGGCAAACTTCTCACTTCACGTCTTCTATTGTATTCGAACCTATGCATGAAAACCATCACGCGCTACGTAAAACTTAGTGAAGCAACTACATAACTAAAATGATATAAAATATAAATTTCATAAAGTATTATAACATGAAATTGTAATTTAAATAAAAACATTAAAACTTTAGAACCGAGCTGATCAAGTTGATTTTTCCTTAAAACTTGAAAATCATCCTCTCATGAGTTCATCAAAAATCATGTAAATCAATATCAAATAACATAAACAATTCATATCTTAGTCATTCGTACATTTTTCAGAACTTTTCATTTCATTTTCATATTGTCTGATAAAATAATAATATCATGATTTCTATTAACTGAAACGTCATTCAAAAATTTCATATTTATTTTTATAGCTCAATGCATATTTATGGGAATATATGGTACGCGAGTAGAACTGAAAAACACGCACTAGGCACTTCAGTGCCAATCATAACTGAAACAGAAACATATAATGCACTTCAGTGCAATCATCACATAAGCACCAACAATATTGTAATACCCTAAACATCGGGTCAATGATTGAAATGTAAGGAATTTAAAATTTAGTAGTGTAATTGGAATAAGCGATAATGTTGAAAACATTTTGATATTTCGGTATAAAAAATTAAGTTAAATGAATTTTAAGATTTTCCAAATGATTTTCTAAGTATATTCGATATAACTATTCGAATATCAAAACATTACTCCAAATCTTTTAAAGATCATTTTTAATCCTTACTCAAGTGTAAAATTAAGTTTTAATCTTAAAACAATTTCAAAATAATTTTACAAAGTATTTCGAATCATTTCAAAGCCAAAAATTCCAGATTGCTCAGAGGGAACCGATTCTCCCCCAAGGGGGTACCGATTCCCCCCTGAATGGTTTGGCTCCGAGAAATCCAGAATGCTCGGAGGAAACCGATTCCCCCCCAGGGGGTACCGATTCCCCCCTTGTATAACGGTCGAAATATTTGAATTTTACACTTAGGGAATCGATTCCCCATAGGGGGTACCGATTCCCCCCACGCTCCAAGCTGTTTTATTAATTATTTTCACACTAAAACGGCTATATGATCTTCACTAATCATCCCCAACGTTCAGAAGTGATTCAAGGTGTATTTAAACAAGTTCTGAAGCCTTTGATCAATAAGAAATCATAGAGAAACAAGAGTGAAAGCATCAAACACCAAGTTTATGCAAATCAAGCCAATTTTCCTTTCAAAATTCATTTTGCTTTCAAAGAACACCATTTGTGCTCATTTGTAATTATTTGTGAGTGTTCTTTTCTTGTTCTAGAATTGTGCAAACATCTTACCTTGTGAGGTTTTCCTTGTAAGTTTGCAAATTTGTAATCTTCTCTTTGGGAAAGAGTGTTATCAAGAATTGGGGTATATTCTTGAGGGTGTTGTAAGGTTATCTCTTTGGCCTCAAAAAAAAGAACAAATTAGTGAATTTGTTGGAAAATCCTTAGTGTGGATAGCTAAGGTAGTGGACGTAGACTTTGATTGAGAAAGTCGTACCACTCTAAATCATTGTGTAATTACTTTCAATTTTCTGCAAAAGCTTCCACCAAATTTTTAATTGCCAATTCACCCCCCTCTTGGCCAATTCCGTCAATCGATTAACTCAACAATTGGTATCAGAGCCTCACTCATTTGAAGGTTTAATCACCTCTTGAGTCAATCCGGGAAGAGTTAAATCGATAAAGATGGCGTCTACTTCCGGTTCATTCTCCATGGAAGAATCCAGACCTATTGACGTGCCTCTAC